AATTGATAGAATGTGTGGGGAAAAGGGTCTATTGTTTTTACAGAAACTGCAGAAGGCATGCTAGCCTGTGAAGAAATACATTGTATATATTTTAATCTCATGAGCCTAGCTCAGGGGTCGGCAACCTGAAACACTGAAAGAGCACTTGGACCCGTTTCCCTCACAAAAGAAAAAACTGGGAGCTGCAAAATGCGCATGTGCATGCGCGCACGTGCAGAACAGGGGGCTTGATTGAAAAGTGGAGCCTAAGGTGAGACATGCATTGGCCCTGCCCCTGTCCAGCTCTGGTATGGACAGCTCTGCCATCCTGGCTTCTCCTCCCCTTGGAAAAGACTGCTCTCCTTCTGCCCCATGCTCTCCCTCTCTGGTACTTTCTTCTTTCTGCCTTTTGGCATGAAGATTCCAAGATAGCGGAGGAGGAGGCCGATGGGGAGAAGGAGCTGCTGCAGCAAATCTTCCGAGGTGGCAGCAGACAGCCACTCAGGCTCGCCCATCTCAGCCTGCTGCGGGAGGCCGGAGTTGAGGCTTCTGGCTCGCTCTGGGAGGGGTGCTCGGAAAAGAAAGGATGAGAAGTGGAAAGTGAGAGAAAGGACGTCTTCCAGCTCTCTGGGGTTCTTTTGCTGGGAGGGCAAGGAAGCAGCAATTCTGCTCCGTGGGAGGTGAGAGCGGGCTATCTCTTCTTCAAGCTTCGCCAAGTGACTCCGGGAGCGAAGTAAGGTCCAAGTCTCCGGAATGTCAACTTTGCGAAAGAGGGAGGCGGTGGTGGGATTAAAATAAAACGGGGGAGGTTGAGGAAACCCAGCAGAGGCTTATATCAGAGGGCAAACAAGAAAGGCAAGATTGGGGAGAGGAAGAAAGCTTTCGGGGCTTGTGCACAGACATAGGCTGACTCCTCATCTCCTGCCCTTGCTGCATCTCCTGTGGAGACGCGTTTGCATCTTTCTGTGTCTTTCTCTGCCACTCAAAGCCATCCTGCAGCTTGATCCTTGAAGCGGTTTCAATTGGCCATTGCCAAGTGTCCCCATGGAAGTCAATGGTGGTCCGTGGCACTCGAAAAGCCAGCTGCAGTGCCTCCCAGTTTTTTGGTTTTACCAGTGAGCTACCACCGCCTCCTCCTCCTCCTCCTCAGCTTTGGTGTCAACACAGACCACTGAGCAGGAGGATTGGCTAATCAGAGTGCGGGTGTGGGGATGGGCTGGGGAGGGGTCCTCCCACTCCAATTGGGTACCCCCTCTTTTCAGAAACAGCACCAGAAAGGAAAGGAAGGATGGAGCAAGCTTTTCCCATGGGGGATCCGGCGCTCATTGCCTACCTCCCTTTCCTGGGCAGGGGTCGCCCAGCAGATCTACCGGGCTGGCGAGAGGTCCCTTGAGAGAGCAGCTGCCACCGCCTCCCCTCCCATCTCCCGGTGGGCTTCAGGGGAAGTGCAGGACTTCGGAGAGGCCGTTCCTGTTCAAAGTGAGCCATGCGCCTTCAGGGGTTGGGAGACAGAGCAATGCTGACCCTAAACAGGACAGACCCCTTTCCTGGGGCCGCAGCTTGCAGGAGGGCTGGCCTGCTCAGTGGAGGTTCTGGCAGGCCACTCCCAGGGGGGATCCTGGAGCTGCCCTCCCTGTCCACGTGCACCTTGGACGGGGCCAGTCCGGGAAAGGGACTTCCTGGCTGCGCTTCTCCCAGGCAGCGGGGTGCCCAGGTGCAGGGCCAATCAGGAGTCCCACAAGGGGGCAAGTCCACGTGAGAGAGAGAGAGAGGTGCAAGTGCCTCTCTCTCTCTGTCTCTCTCTCTCTCTCTCTCTCTGGTGGATGAGGCCCTGGAGCCGCAGGAGAAGGCCCAAATTGCTGCATGTGGCTCTGGAGCCACGGATTGCTGACCTGTGGCCTAGTTGAATCTTGAGAATTTTATCTAGGAAGATTTCTGCTATGCTCAAAACCAGTCTTAACCAGAATTTGCTGATATGATAGTTACTTTAGAGACAACCCCAAAGAACTAGTAACCATAAAAGGTAATTTGTAAATAAGGGCAGGGGCAATAGAATTAGAGTAGTGAGAGATGTAATCAGGGGCGGAGATAATGTATTCACTTTAGGAGCTTCATATAGGTTGTTATGACATAATTACTAAGCCAATGAAGAAAAGGTGGGAGGTAAATTTGTAACAGCAATTGGCAATATAAATAAAGAATATTGATGATTTAAAGTGTGTCCACTGTGCCCATGTTTTCTCTTGGAAGTTTTGGCTGGTGATTGTTTATTTCAACTAGACAACGAATCCCACAACTGGAAGCTAAATAAGATAGGGTCCTCTTTCTCCTCTTGTTCCTGATAATTAATATCTTCTGGGCAAAGCCTCTATGAATAACCTTTTTCTTTATCCCACAAATAAATGAGATTATGCAAAATGGCATTAGGACTGTAGCAGTTCACATGATGGATTTAGCCAACAAGCTTAGGCTTAATATTGATACATTATTAATTTGATTTGACTAATTAAATGAGGTAAAGGCTACCATTATGAAATATCTAGAGGAGATTTAGTGATTCAATAATAAATGCTTTAAAATACTGGGCATAATGATTAGCCAATTAAAAAAAACCTCTATGATATTATTAGTGCACTGCTTTAAAGGCTATTGTTTTCATGATCAGATTTGGTTAAGAAATTGATTATGGTACCATGCTAGAAATCAGAACACTGAAAGTTTTAATAAGTTTTACTCATGAAAGCTGACTAGGTGACTGTGAACCAATCACTTTCTCTTAGCTAAACCTACCTCATAGGGTAGTTGTTCTGGCGAAAATAAGAGAAGGAATACAGAATACACGTTTGACCCCTTGTGTTATTTATAAAAATAATAAAAACAGAATAAAAAATAAAAGTGATTAAAATATATCTAAGTTGAATTAATTCTGTGTCTAATGCAGTGGTTTTCAACCTGTGGGTCGGGACCCCATTTGGGGTCGAACGGCCATTTCACGGGGGTCGCCAAACAACGCAGTCCGCCATTTTTTCCCCCTTCTCCTTAGCTGTGCTACTCCCTTTTATTCTATTGGCTTTTGAAAGTCAATAGAATAGACTCTCTTGAATAGATTCTAATTCTATTGGCTTTCAAAAGCCAATAGGAATTGTCCAGGCTGTCTCTGCCCTGCTGAGCCCGCCAAAAGTCCCATTATGCAAACGGTGCTGCACCAGTTGAGTAGTCCTTGACTTAATACCGGTTGAGTAGTCCTCGACTTACAACCGGTTGGGGGTTGCGGCATTAAAAAGGTTGAGAACTACTGGTCTAATGCAACACAAACTAATTGTAACCAGCAGATACATTTGAAAAGTCACAAATCATTCATTTTCTATAATCCATTAATTCTATCTCAACATCTTTGAGCCTTTAAACATCACAGGAGAGCAAATGATTATAATTTAGAACAAGAAAAAAACAACAGCAAGAATAGCATTAGTGAAGTAGCCAGGCAGTTAGAAAAAGTACAGAAGATTAATCCCACAAGTACTGGAAAAAATGCATGCTTCCTCTGTTATTTATAGAGTGGTTATTAAAATCTACAAGTGCATTTATGATTAAATATTTTTATTATTTTCATGACTCAGGAACTGATGAGATATAGCAAAAATAATTTTAAGTATGTTTACGGTGAAAACCGTTTCCCAAAACAGTTGAAAATCACCCATATAGAAGGATTTAGAGTCCCTAAATAAAGTGGTACTCTGGTTGAATACTTGTAAAAGCTAATGGGTTCTCTCTTCAAGACCCAAACCTACTTCATCTGCCTGTCTTGCATAATAATAAAAATATTATTAGTATCCTGAATTGTTTCCCAAATGTTTATCTTTATTATTCAGCATAATTCAATACAAAGGCATGTTCATTTACGTTTCCATGTTTGAATTATCTGAAATTGATTATACTTTTGCTTCCTATCTTACAAGACCAAGTCTTCACTAAAACATCCAGAATTCCTGACTATTGATTATGTCATTGTGTTAGGTGAGGATGATCAAAGTTTCTAACTAGAGAGGTTGCTACTCTTCTCCTGATATCCCCATTTCATCCCCATTTCATCAGGGAGAATATTTATTCCTCCTCTTGTCATCCCATTGCCCAAGACTGATGATTCTACCAAAAATTGGTGGGGGAAGCAGGGAGCAGCAGAGGTGATGCTCTGATCCAGTGATGATTTAGTTCAAGAAGGACCTGATAAAAATTAGGATCTATTCTTTTTTTTCTGAAGTTGGATGTCAGATGCCACCTCAATATTCTGCCACTATGCTTCAAGAAGTTCTTTCATTGACAGTCTGCCATAGACTCTGGGGCCAGATGGGAGGGGAATATATTTTGGGGGAATTAAAGTTCACCGCTCATTTTCAAGTGCAGACTCAGGGTCAACTGCTTGGGAATGGACCGCAGCTGCATTCCTCAGGAGACCATTCTAAAAACATTTCTTTTAAATTTGAATGGACATGAAAGGACCAACTGTGGGAGGAATCTTTGAGAGGGAAAAAAGTTAGACTTGGGATTTTGGTGCATGGATTTCAGTTCTGGCTTTCCATTATTGTATTTCACTTGGCTTCTAGTAAAGAATACCTTTCTCAACCCAAGGGTGCTAAGGATCATTCTTACTTAGAGACTCAAGCTGAGGCAGATCTGACATTGAAGGCAGTATAAATAGCAATACCACTTACACTGATATACTGCTTCATAATGCTTTGTAGCATTCTTTAAGCAGATTACAGAGTCAGCATATTTTCCCCAACAATCTGGCTCCTCATTTTACCAACCTTGGAAAGATGGAAGGTTGAGGTCAACTTTGACCCAGTCAGGATTGAACTCCTGACAGTGAGCAGAGTTAGTCTGCAATACTCATTTTATCCACTGGACCACCATGGCTCTAAATAATAAATAAATAAACTCTTTTTTTTAGGTCTATTCTCATTCTAAATCAATAGTTCTTCATTTTTCAATTTTCTTTATTTTATTTTTCTCTTTTACAGAGACAAGAGGGTTGTCTCCAAAGCACCTTTACTCCCCAAAGCACCTGAGGGCAGCACAAGAAGCAATGGGTGGAAGCTTGTTAAAAAGAAATCCCGCTTGGAACTCGGGAAAAATTTCCTGATAGTGCAAGTAATCAATCATTGGAACAGCTTGCTTCCCAGAGTTGTGACTGCTCCATTGCTGGAGATCTTCAAGAAAAGTTGGACATTCATTTGTCTGGGATGTTATAAGGACTCCTGTCTTGCACATAGGGCTAGACTAGAAGCCCCCCAAGATCCCTTGCAGCCCTGTAATTCTATGATTCTATGATATTAGTTCTTAATGGTTGGGCTGCAAAGACTAGAGGCCAGCTACAATCACAGAGAAGCCACTAAAGCAGGGGTGTCAAACTTGCAACGTCACGTGACATGTGATGTATCGTAACTTTTTTCCATTGCCGGCAATGGGATGGGCATGGTTTTGCCATGACACATCTGGCCTGTGGGCCAGCAGTTTGACACCGCTGCACTAGAGCCTCTATGGGTTTCATTCCCACCAATGCTTCTTCTTCTGAGTTGATGGTTGATTCAGGACAGGATTACAAGGAGGAGGGTGCAGTAGTAGGATGGTTTATTTCACTTTCTATGCTTTGTTCTACTGAAAGTTGACATTTGAAGTACTATATCTGAGCTGCAAACTCTGGACAATAACTAGATGTGATGGTAAAGAAATAGAGGAGGAAAAGTGATGTTTCCTATTCTCTAGTCATTAACTGGATCATTCACCAAAGATCATTCACCAGTGAAAGTAACCCTTCATTCCTGGTTATTCTGTGATATCCCTTATGTGAGAGGCAAGGAGTGGAAGGAAGGAGCCTAGCAGAACTCATATGTTGTGAACCTCTAAACTCTGTCTCCCCTCCTGTCACTATATTTATGCCTCTAGTGGTTCATTAAGAAGATAAATGTTCAGAATGACTCAGAACAACTTCTTAGTGAGCAAATTAAACATATATGTGATTGGGTCTCCACCTGAATTGCTAAGGGATATTTGGCTCCTAACAGTTTTTTTGTAGGCTTGATATAATCTCTTTCCACTCTGTTCCAATAACACTTACCTAGCCTGTAGGTTATGAAATTGAGAAGAGAAAGGTGACAATTGAAATTCAGCTCCATCAACAGGGCTGAATATACAGGGACTCATATCCAGACTTTTAAGAACAAAATTCACCAAGCCACTCTCTTGAGTGGAAAAATGTGTTGTGTTTACTTTCTCTTGTCTTTTGAATGTTGCTAAATTTCAAATGTATTTTTTTGCCCTTTTAATGAAGAGGTTGCCTTGTTGGTCTGCATTATTACTATTGTTGCTGTTGTTGCTGCTACAGATATTATTTTTCATTCTTATCATAGTTTCATTTATTTTCTGCCTGTCTGTTTAATAATTGTTATTATCTTTTAAGGGTTTCCATTATGGGCTTCAATTTTGTGAGAGTGGTGCTTTCAGCTGAAAAAAAAAGAACATCAATGAAAAAATTCAGAAATAAAGTAACTTTAAACATGAAGGAAGTGCATAAATGTCAGAAGTAACCTTGCTTTCTCTCTGAAGTTACTATATTGCCTTCTGTTCCCCAGTAACATAAGGCAAACTCAAATGCCATCATAATGTATCTTTGTTTTGTGCCCAATAAGGAAGGAAACACTGTACAGTCCTATCATATTTAGTCATTTAGTCAAGTTTTTTTTAAAGTGTCCTAGTTCATTTCTTAGAATATGTTCATTCAGCCTTGTACACCCTGCTGTGTCAAGCAGACAACAAGCACTTCATAAACTTTTATGAAGTTATGCTTTATAAAATATTATTCTTTTTCATCTATGTGCTGTTATTGCAATAGCACTAAAGAACAAAGGTAAGATACAGGTAGTCCTCAACTTAAAACAGTTCTTTTAGCAACCATTCAAAGTTATAACTGTTTTTCACACTTACAGCCCTTGGTCTTGTGATCAAAATTTGGAGACTTAGCAACTGGTTCAGATATTTTGAGAGTTGCAGAGTCCTGGAGTCATGTGATCACCTTTTGCGACCTTCTGACAAGCAAAGTCAATGGAGAAGCCAGATTCACTTAACAACTATGTCACTAACTTAACAACTGCAGTGATCTACTTAACAGCTGTGGCAAGAAAGCTCATAAAATGGGGCAAAATTCACCTAACAAATGTCTCACTTAGCAACAGAAATTTCAGGTTCAATTGTGGTCGTACATTGAGGACCACCTGTATTCATTTTATTTCTCCACATATTGTGTATAATTCTCTAACTCATTTCTTTATAACCATATTTTTGTTTGTTTGTTTTACCTGTAAGATGGACCTGCAGTCCTGCCAAACATTTAAAAAAAATAGTAAGCTGTACCAAAAGTGGTTTTCAGAAGGCAACTGAACTTTCTTGGTTTTTTTCTTGAAAACATTTTGCTTCTCAATCAAGAAGCTTCTTCAGTTCAGAAGCTTCTCAGATGAGAAGCAAAACATTTTCAAGACCCCTCCCCACACAAAAATCCAGCTGTCTTCTGAAAAGCACCTTTGGGACAATCATGACCTGGATGATTGAGAATCTACATAGATATCGTAGCTGTAGTACAGATAATAGTGGAAATGATCAAAATATAGGCTAAACTTGAACTATAGGTAGGATGATACAACAGATGGTAGCATCAGACATACAGAGAAGCCTTAAGTCTACCTAACTAATATTTATCCATATTTTTGCAGACAACCTAGTAGCCTTTGGCTTTTTCATTGGAATATAGGGGTTGGTAATGTGTTCAGGTTTAGCTGGATTGGCTGTCACCTATAAATGTATGGCTTCAATGAAAAATAATACATTATGTTCCATATTCTCCTTCCCCCCCAGAGCAGGGGTAGGCAAACTTGGCTCTTTTATGACTTGTGGACTTCAACTCCCAGAATTCCTGAGCCAGCCATGCCCCAGTGGTATGAACAATCTTGACATTCCTATCCTTTAAACCAGACTTGAAACTCCCAGGTCAGATCCAGATGTCTACCCATTTAGAATGAATTATGTCTGGTATGCTATTGTGTATTATATATTATATACAATTGTATACTGTATACTATTGTATATTCTCTTACTATGACCATCTTTAGTTTTTTTGTTTGTTTGTGTTTTGTTTTTAATTTGTGACTTGCTCACAATTGCTATGATTTGGTAACTATACATATCTACATTATAAATGAAAGATAAATAAATATGTAAGATATTTATTTGGGATAGGGCACGTCGAAAAATAAAAGGTAAAGATCCTGTCTCAGGCCTAACTGTGAATGAGAAGAAAAGGGCAATTAAACTGTACATTTGTTTTGGTTTTGTTCCAGAGAAAAGGAATGTAAAATGAATTGGGAACCCAGGATAATTCATTAGGTCATCAGAATATGACCACATGTTTTATCTTACAGGATTGACACTGTGAAAAAAATAAGTTCATGGTTATGATTATTATGAAAACAAACTGGATTTTAAATTAGATTTACTAATATCCATTACATTCAATGTATGATTATAATTGCTATTACTGTTTATACCTCTCTTGGATTTGTGGTTATATGTGATTATAGTTACAAGTTATCGCTAACCAATTGCTCTATGCAAATATGGAAATAACGTGCAAGCGACATCATACATGAAGCATATTACTGTGCAATTTCCAAGTGGCTTTTCTTTATTACATAGTGGTTTAATCTGGATCATGACTACTGTATATACAATTGGCAAACTTAATTCTTCTCAGAGTCTTGTTTTTGTATCTTAATTCCATTTGAATTAGGTAATTAAAAAAAATTGTACTGATGCTCACAGAAAACTCAAAGGGAAGACAAATTTGTTAGGAAACCTGTAGACGAGATTTGCTTCCTGCCATTTTATTTCCTTCCTTCCCTCCTTCCTTCCTTCCTTCCTTCCTTCCTTCCTTCCTTCCTTCCTTCCTTCCTTCCTTCCTTCTCTCCAAGATAATTCACTTGTTTCATCCCCATCTTTACAGCCAATCTGAAAATACAAAATTCAGTCCAAGATTTCTGACACTATAGATAAGAAGTAACAGGAATAGTACTATGCACATTGCAATTTTTTTAAAATCAATTCACCAGCACAATCAATGTAAATCAAGCAAAATATATTTATTTGAGTAGCCAATTTCCCTGCTCTCCATTGTTAACGCTTAGCAGATTATCAGGTTACAATACATTGGCCCATCATATTTTATAAACCCTAGCTTATTTCTATTTTCTATTTTCACCATTAGCAGTCTGGCCAGCTAAATCTGTAATTCATGAGGTTACTGGAATTATCAATACAAAATACAGGTAGTCTTCAACTTACAACAGTTCATTTAGTGTCCATTCGAAGTTGTAACAGCATTGAAAAAAGTGCTTGGCAATTGGTTCAGATTTTTGACAATTGCAGTGCCCCAGAATTATGTGATCCCCTTTTGCGACCTTCTGACAAGCAAAGTCAATGGGAAAACTGGATTCACTTAACAATCATGTTACTAATTTAAGAATTGCAGTGATTCACTTAACAAGTGTGGTGAGAAAAGTCATAGAATGGGGCAAAACTCACTTAACAAATTTCTCACTTAGCAACATAAATTTTGGGCTCAGTTGTGGTCGTAAGTAGAGGACTATCTGTAATGGTATTTAAAAATGGGAGATATGAAAACTTACACGCCCATTCACAAATCCACTAAAATATATTGTTGTTGTTATTATTTTTAACCATTCAGTCATGTCCAACTCTCGGCAAATTTACATGAAAATGCTCTCCATGCTACCCTGTCAAGCACAGCTTCTTTCAGTTGTTGAATGTTCCTCTTTGTATCAGTTTTGAACTAAAATATATACACGGACACAAAAACACAAACTTATTTTTTTACAGTTAATAATTGTGAGTTCTTACACACACACACACACACACAGAGAGAACAGCAAGCATTTGAAAGATGATAAGCTGCATAATTGTTTCTCTGAAACACATCAAGAAAAAATTCTTTGAAACATAAACAAGTAAGAAGAAAAAAGGTGCCTGAGTAGCCTTCACCTATTGTCAAATGTTAGACTGTTGGTACTATTAAGGACAGCTGTATGAATCAGCCCAGCTTTTAAGATAGAAGCAAAACACAATGCTAAGAACTGGGAGCTATAAAACATTATTGGCCCTGCATTCATTCTACAGTACATTGTTCAGTGAATAAGCTCAGGACTGCCATAGAAGAGAGTGGGATCAATCCATTCAAGGAAAAGTTCACACTGGATATTTCAAAGTATGTTCAGAAAAAGGGGAGGTAGAGGCATTAAGTAATAACACCCGGGCAGCAAAAACTTGCATGGCTGCAAAGTAATCTTACCTGCTTAATTATTACACTTAGCCAGTATATCAAGTATTATTAATATTTTAGAAGTTGCTCATGTAAGAAAATAATAATTTCTCAATAATCAATAAATACTTTTTGTAATAAATAATAAAGAAGATGGAATGTAATGGTTTGTACGTGCTTATGTTTTTATTCAATTTTCCACTAGAAGTCCTTGACTTATGACCACATTTGAGTCCAAAATTTCTGTTGCTAAGTGAGACTGCTGTTAAGTGAATCTGCCCCATTTCACAATTTTTCTTGCCACAGTTGTTAAGTGAATTACTGTGGTTGTTAAGTTAGTAACACGGTTGTTAAGTGAATCTTGCTTCCCCATAGACTTTGGTTGTCAGACGGTCGCAAAAGGGGATCATGTGACCTGGGATACTGCAGCCATCATAAACACTTGATCATGGGGATGCTGTGCCGGTCGTGAGAAAAACAGCCATGAGCTGGTTTTTTTTTTTTTTTAGTAACTTTGTAACTTTGAAGGGTGACTAAATGAATCATTGTAAATTGAGGACTACCCTCTAAGCACGATTGCTTGACAAATATTACCTCACGTGTGGGTACAGTTTGCAACCTTTTGACAGAGAAGGCAAAGTAATGTCGATTAACTAATTTTCTTTTCTGCTTGTTGGAGGTGGAACCTCAAGTGAAAAATATGACGTATCTGCAATAGTTTTTCCGTTATGAAAATCCATTCAACAGTTGAGTTATGCTTTTTTCCCATTCAGCTCTGTAATTGTTATTAGTGCTTGAGTCAAAACTTTTTTTTCAAGCAATAACTTCAGGAGAATAAGTGTAACTTTTATTGACTTATTTCATTTATGGAAACATTAGTTTTAATGTCATTCATTATTTCATTTAGCGATTCATTTCATTATTTCATTACTGCAATAAGCTTTTGCAATACAATATCATGCAATAATGACACTGAGTCTTCTGAACATTTGAGTAGAAGTCACGTCCATGAGGAAATTCTGACTGAGCACTTTTTTTCCTGTTCCAACTATTCCTCACTGCATTTTATCCATGAAATGTTACAAATATGAATTGTTGATAGATTTTGCTTGCTGTGCTTTCTAAATGCAGTTTTAAACTTCATAGGTTTGGAACCTTTCAGACAGATTTATACATAT